CGACGTCGGAAATTGAATCGCCTCGATCCTTGCTTCGCGGACGCGAGGTGTAACCTGCATCGCTGGACACGTGTCTCGCTGTCCCCGTGCGCGGGGAGAGATCGGACGAAGGGAGGAAATTCAAAGCAGAGACGATGTCTTCTACCTGTTATCAAGCATGCGAGTAGATGACGGTGGAAAGACGTCCTCGTGAATTCCTCGCGAACGAGGGACCGCGCTCGCTCCCGGCTCTGTTTCCTCGCGGGACATGTGGTCTGTTCTTTTTAGCTGAACTGGATGCACCAGTTCGAGAAAGTTGCGCACACTGAAGCATAAGAATTCCGCACGCTTCATTGCAATGTGTATATACATTTTTTGAACTAGTGCTACCAGTTCGGCCGCAAAAGCAACATTTAGGGCACTTTGATCGATACAAGTGATTTCAGGACATGGATTCTGTGTGTAGCGACCTTTGGTGTGCGCTAATTCGGCGTAGTGCGAATAATTGAATTCGCTATAAGAGAGAATGTCAAATTAGATCTGTTCGCTTTAATTGAACTAGTGCTGCACTGAAACTTCGTTTCTTTTCCCTTCGACGCTGAGTTACACACTTGTTTCCCTCTAAAGGCAAAAACTGCAATCTAGTTTGACTAAAGCTGGGTATACACTGAGCGAACGAACAAGAAACGAATAACGACTGTAAACTTTCGTTGTTACAATTTGGAAAATGTGCATGATTAGTTTCAAAAAGGTTTTGTCTGACCAAGTTCTCAACGCATCTCGTATCCGATAGAAAAATATATCTCCTAAGAATTAGAATTACTAAGAAAACTAATTTTCCTATTGGACACGGGATGCGTTACGAAATTTATATAAAAAAAAAAAAAGAAAGAAACTGTTGCAACCTTGTGACACACTATGTGTCATAACGAATCCGAACAGAACATTTTGGTCTGATTCGCTCATAAGATAGTTTATCAAATTTATCATACCTGTTTCGACGCAAAGATAGACATTCGCGCTGTTCGTGCGTTGTCCGTTCATACACCCACCTGAGAACGAACAAACCTATTGGCATCGGAAGAAACTCCTTCCTTCATTTTCCGTCCGAGAAACGGGCGGTTCTTCCGCCGCCTTTAATCAACCCACTCTTGGCGCGGCGAAGAATCCGCGGCCGGTATCCTCGGGATCGATTTTTCTCAGAATAGTCGCTCGAGGTTGGAGACTGTATTTAGAAACGCGGACTAGATGATATCGGAATTACATCCATCCACCCTCTCGAAACGAACGCGCGGTCGTCTGCGCGAGCTCACGGCGCGTCGTTCCGACCGAGCGTCGGCAAAGCGCGCGCGAAGCGGCGCTTCGTCTTCGCGAAATTCCAACCCCTCCCCCCCCCCCC